TGACTCGTACAAAGCACTCCCAATCCCTTTGTGCACGGCAAAAAAAGAAGTGGCAGGTGTCAGTGGGAGAAACTCGCTCACTTCTAAAGGGAATTCGGTAGTTCATTGGAAAATAAGCAATATCAAGGGTAGGCCATTTCTTTTCAGTGTAGTCTTGCGTGCACTTTTGTGTGCATAGGGCTTACACGTGTCTGTTGGCCGAGTTTTTGGGACAATTGCAGCGCCTCGTCTCTTCGGCTCTTGGGCTCGTATAATATGTAATGTAAAGTTAATGAAATGCTTCACCACAGCCCCGCCCCGCCCCCCGCTTATCGTCGTTGAAACTGTTATTAATTATAGGCGCACCCTAATTTCCTGCTAGTGCGGGTATCATTTGGAGTCCCCAAAGTCGTCAGAAAGTGCTGAAAGCCTATATTAATTGCATTTTAATGAAACGCAATAAGGAAACTTTGCGGCCCCGGGCAGAACCCTTTCTCGTTCTACGTTCCAGGGAACCCAGATCTATAATAAGATCCTAACGGCCCGATACGAGCCTAGTTGTTAATGATATGGTAAATGGCCGACTCCTTGGAGAGACTGGCGTGGTATTGAAGAGATTAAACGGCCGGCGAAATGGCACTATGTCTATACCTGGTGGGCCTTTATTGGTCGGACTGCCACAAATGAAATTAAATATTCGAGGCTGTGCAAAAAATGCATTAAAACAAATGCGAAAAAAATGTGCAGCGCTGCGGTTGGCGCATTTGTTGTTTTCATTGCATTATCAGGCGCCGTGACAAGAAAAAATACACGAAAAAAGGCAGCAAATAAATAAAACATGCATGAGCAGAGGCTTATATAGCACATCTGTCTCTCTCTGTGTGTGTGTAGGTGCATTGTTGCTGATAAAAAATTCATTAATTCATATACAAAATGCAATTAAGCGCAGTGGCTGCCACAATAAAAGCACGAAATCAGTGATGGCCGACTAAAAAAACGGAGAGCGCCATTTAAAGAGCTGTCGATAGTTGGGATACCCTCATTAGATCTACTGGTTTTGTGCGTACTTATATCCCTAAAATGTCCACTATTTTTCACCTAGACCTAGACTAGGAAATCAGTGCGAGTTTTATCTGCCGGCTTAAGGAATATGTAGCACTTATAACTTTATCTTTGCCTGCAAAAGCAAATACCCCAAGGTATTCCAGGGTATCAGGGAGAAAAGTGCTGCATAAATAAAATAGTAGGCGGCGCGGGGCAGAGGCGGGGGATAACAGCAAACGCAGCAGTTAAATTAACAAATTGCATGCATATTTTAATAAAATAAATATTTTAATAAGATTAAACTATAATGCAGCCAAATGTCAAAGTAGCGCGTTGCACATTCCCCAGCGGATAACAGGGAAAGAAATTTGAATAAAAAACTGATTGCTCTGTTTTATATAGGCGTATTTTTTGGTTTTTTGCATGCTGTTGTTTAATTTATGCGGTTTTCAATTACCCTTTTGATATGAATTAATGACCGCATACAATGCATAATCCTGGCACTCCGCTCTCTGCTCACATAATTTAATTAAACATTTTGTGGCAGGTGGGTGGTTGTGGATGGTTGTGGGTGCTATCAGGTTGCACTTGTCTCCATCCGCAAGATCCGCACCCAAGCCACTCGCCTTTCGCTCGCCAATAGCTTGTGTTGCATGTTGCTGCTGCAACATTCCTGCAACAACTGCGGCCACTGCAACAACAACTGCGCCACGAGCAACAACATTCTTTTGTTGCTCGCTGGGGCAGCAAAATTTCATGCCTGTGTAAACTATTTGTCGACAATTTTGTCTGCTACAAAAGTCCGCATGCCACAAGCCCAGAGACCAGACCGTGGTCTATACCCGAGTCGAGAGCAAAATCGGCGGCACGGAGCGATGTGGCCAAGACCAAAGCGTTGAAGCGCACGCCGCCGGCACGAACACGCTCAGCCTTTTGGCCCTGGCCAATTGCCGCTCTAATGACTCCGCTCCTGAGTGCCCAAGTGGCCAAGTGCCCAAGTGCTGCCTGCCAATCAAGTGCAACTTTCCAGGCGCATGCAAAGTACATAAACAATGATGCAAATCAATGGCTGCACTCAGAAAAACGCATCAAGCCAGATTCCTATTTCAACTTTCTGAAAAAAACACTGAATGGGGTTCCTGGACCTGTAAGCCAGCGGGACTAGATGGCTAATGAGCTTGGCTTATATGTGTGCATTAGTACAGCATATCTTGCACAACAATATATCAGTTTTCTGCGAATGCATTACTATCAGTCAGAGGCAGGGACTCGACGGAGGTTACCCTGCTTATCGCCAATGAAAAGTTTGGCGCGTTTAAAGTAAGTTTACGTGTAGCACGGCAAAGTGCATTGATAAGAAGTGCACCCTCCACCCCCCCGCCTGCGCGTCTTGGCCTTTTGCTGATTAGTCGATCAATGTTCGGTCTGAACGGAATCAAGCTTTTAAATATGCAAAAAGCAGAGGTGGAAGCATACACATGCGGCGGCATTAAGAGCTCTTAAGAGCGGCGGGCTCGAACCAGTTTCGGACCCTCTTCCTGCCCCTCCCCTGCCCTGCCCTCCTTTCCCTTTAACTTGGCCAACTCCCCGAACTCCTTTGCCAGCGCCATTATGGCTCATTATCGCCCCGAGCAACACAACATCTTACAGTATGCTGATGAGTTTTTTGGCCATTCTAATAGGAAAAGGCCTGGGCTAATTTATAAATATCTGGACAGGGAACAAAGAAAAAGCAGAAAATCAGAAAAAAGGAAAGCACCACCGCCTCTGCGGTGGTTTGTTCATTAAACGACTGCCACGCCCACCAGTGGGCCTGTTCATTAATTGTTGACAATGATTACCTGGCCAACACAGGCGAAGCTGAACAGAGACGAAGACGAAACGAAACGAATCGAAATGAAATGAAATAAAATGAAATGGGACTAAGGCAAAAAGCCTCCAGTCTCGAGGCGAATGCAATTTCAATTTTCAACGACAGGTGATAAATAAATCGAAACGCATCGAATTGAAAGCGGCAGCGGTGGCATCGGCAATCGATTCGCTGCGTTGCGAATGAAATTGCGCCATATTTGGGCGTTATTTGTGGCCGAGCGGTGCTCCGACTTTCCAGACTCTCCAGGTGGAAAAGGGTGGAGGCTCCAGGACGGACTCGATCCGCAGAGAAGACTCCTCCTGGACTCCTGGAGCTCCGGCTGAAAGCCAAAGTCCAATTCGAGACTGAGGCGTTGGCAATGAGCGTCGAAGGCATTTAATTGCCACCGCGGCATTTTGACGTCTACGCATCAGGGAGAAGGGATGCACAGCGAGAAAAGCCCCAGCAATTTGGGCGACAAATAAGCACACCTACTAGAAGTGCGAGGATATGACGCCCAACAGGCATATTTAGAGTTACAATTAAATATCTACTAGCATTTAAAGGCTGGGTTGCAAGAGTTATAAAGTTCATTTCTCTCACTGATTGGAGCGCAAAAGAGACGGAAACAGAGCGACAGACAGAGATGGAGACTGCGGAGACCCAAGACTTTTTCGAAAAGGTGTTTTGTCGCCAGTTCGCCAATGCTACCTCCAATTGAGTGCGAATTGGCATTTCATTTGGCGCATTTGGCATTTTCGGGGCGCGTTGATCATTTAGCCGTGTTTAGTGTCCGTCGTTGTTGCGCTTTTTAATTTCGTTCTCTGATCAGCAGGAAAAAAGCAAAAAAAAAAACACAAGACAACGAGAGAAACAGAGCCACAACAACACAAATGATTTAAGATGTTCGACTGTCAGTGGTGACAACATTGACAGTAAAATTATTTCTACGCGCTGCAGAAGGTTAATTATCGTTGATTTATTTACAACAAACTAAAAAATGAAAACAAACTCCAGCTGGGCCATACAAATAAAATGAAAATCTGGCTTGCGTTACAGCAAACGGAAATAGCGAAGAATTCGATGGAAAATCAAGCTTTTGGGGATTAATTTGTTTTGGGGCAACAAAAATGCTGAGGGGCTTAAAATTGCCATAAAATGTCACAAAAAATCACTTGAAAGAAATTGAAAAAATTAATAATTTATTGAAATAAAATGCGTGCAAATAAAATGCGGCAAAAACGATAAAACACGGCAAAATTAAGAGCGAAAAAATCAAAAAAAAATATGGAAAAAAGTTTACCATGACAGCCATAAATAATTAACAATACAAAAAGAGATGAAGCAGCAGAAGAGGATTCTGCGTTAATTTGCATTTTTGTTTTATGATAACAAAAGCGTAAAAATAAGCGAAAAAGTTCAACAATTTCAGCGGGAACAAACATGGCAAACCGCAGGCAAAATTAAAACACGAGCACAATGTAAAATATTAAATTAACATTAACAGGGAAATGAAAGCGGTTAGCGTGGGTGAGAATGCCCATGTGCATACGTGTGTGTGCGCTTGTCAAAGTGAATTTAAAATAATTATTGTACATTATGCGCCGCAATGCGTATTAAATTAAATGCTGCACAATAATAAAATTAATCAGGCACCCAACCAAAAAAATTATGCTATATGCATATGCAGGAAAACCAAAAATGCAGCAAGGTGGCAAACAAAAGCCAAACAAATACCTGCACAAAAACTATATTGTTCAATAGCAGCAACAATAAAACGCACGTAATTAAGCGTTTTAATGCTTCATTTATGGACAAGGGGGTGCGGGGGTTGGGCAAACACGAACAGGAAAACGTATCTGAGTTTTAAATACCCCATTTAAAAATGGTACACCTGCCTGGTATGTTTACTGATTTGGTTTTCATTTGAAGACACACAAAACGAGCCAATCACTTTCATAGAAAATTCAGAAAAAAGACATCATGCGTTGCATTTTTTCATAATTTCCACAAATTAGCTGTGCTTAGTGGTCAGTCACAAATGGCAATTATTGATAATTATTGTAATGCATGCGGACAGCTTTAATTGAAATTAACTCACTTTCCCGCTCTCTTCTCGTTGCAGATGGTAAGTTCTTATCATCACTCAATCCTTCAGAACTAACATATGATGGTAAGTCGCATTCCACATTAAGTCATTTAACACTATATCAGTACCTTAGCGTAGATGGATACTTAGATACTTTAGAAACTTTAAGATACAGCCAGTGGGCGAGTAGATCTGAAGCGAAACACGTGCTGCCCTTCGGTTCGCACATCAATCAAAATTTGGCCGATGGCCAAGGGCATCGATATAGATCGGTTCCTGAGTTCCTTAGTTCCTGGGTCCCTTAGTTCCTGGGTCTGTCCCTAATCCTGTTCGCGATCACGTTCCTGCCCGGTCCACGCCCACTTTGCGCGCGGCTGCGGCTTCCTGTTTCTGCGATCTTTTGAAATGAGAAATTTCTTTTTAATTTAGACTTAAGCAGCCTGCGCGCCGGACAGCTGATAAAAAATCATTATAAAGTTAAGTTTTAATTAAAAACTACAATCGATTAAAGGGGCGAGGGCCGGGACGAATACTGTCTGCGGCTCATAAATTGAACATCGGCGGTCTCCGCAGCTTTCAACGTGCATGTGGGCCACGCCCACTGGAAAAAAGAGCAGAAAACTTAAAAATACATCAGCCGCCAGATGATGATGATGAACTTGTGCCAATTTCTGCTGCGAAAATCAGTGGCAGTTTCGATGATGTCCGATGTCCGATGTCCGATGTCCGCTGCCCGATAGTCGCGGCATTATGGCATTATATAAGCGCATTTCGCTTTCATTAATGAACATGGGGCAAAAACGAATGGTCGAGCGACCGGCACGTGAATTGAAATTTGATTTATGGTCGGCAGCGGCCCTCCATGTGGGGCTTTTCTTTCTGTGTTCTGTGTTCTGCACTCTGTTTTTATTATTTTTTGCATATTTTTCTTTGCTGGCTAAGCAGCCTCCTCTGGGTCGTAAAGTCGCAGCCCAGGATGCAGTTTTCCCTCTTTATGATGCGTTAAATTGAGGAATGGCGTGCCAGGGCATTTAAATCGTTAAAAGGCAAGTGTAGGGCCGGTCAAATGTAACTCATATTCGATTGTTTTTCCTGCACTGGAAAAAACGCGCTGTATCTGGGGGCCAGTGTAATCTTGTGATAGTACCTTCAGCTAGTTATCCCGATAATGCGGTTCAGTTTCTATATCCAAATGTCAAACTCCAAAGAGTCCACCTTTTCGCCAGTGTAAACCGAAGTTCGAAAGACCCACTAACCCACAAAACAGGGCTTTTATTTTAGGCTGGCCGAAAGGAGAGCAGCCAGAGTGTAATTTGTATTATTTCCTTGGGCGGCAGAGGCGGGGGGCGTGCCCAGAGGGCGGGGCGGGGGCGGCGGCGGTTGGCAGACAGCCGTGGGCCATGGCCAAGAGCAGAAAGGGACAGAGAGTGCGCAGGGGACAGAGACAGCGAGCGGGCGTTTAAGCACAACTTTAAATAATCGTCTGTCAGAACTGTCAAACAAGCCGGCAAGCGCTAGAATTAATGGCACACTGGCAGTGCGAGGGAGATGGAGAGGGAGAGGGAGAGGGCTGCGGAGGGAGACCGCCGTAGAGGGAGACAGCTGCAATTTGTTTAACCCTGCGCAGGCGCAAAGCGTCCGTTGAACCTGCAATCCGGCAAATTCGTAACCCGGCGTATGGCTGTGTATGTGGAGCACAAGTTGAGTTATTGTTTCTGCACTTTTTTTTCGCTTTTAGCGCAGTCGCAGCGAGTTAAAAACAATGCCATTGCCATGGCGGTACTTTATCAAATGCCCCCGTCTCTTTCCATTTGTGCGAGGCCGTCTCTTTCCCGCTCTCACTCGCCAGCTATAGCCCCCTCTCTTTCGGCATGTGCTTGTGTGTAAAATTAATGTTGTTGCGCCGCAGCGGGCGAACTTTCAACTGTTGCTGCTGCTGCTGCTGCTGTTGGCTCAAGATGAAAAATTATTGCTTTTAATTTATTGCATAAACAAAGGCTACACCATCGGAATAAAAATGTCTGGCTGTGTGTGTGTGTGTGTAAGTCTGCGCGAGTGTAACGGTTCTCAAGGTCATGGGCGAAAGAGACAGCAACTGGGGGCTTTCCCCGGCTTCGCTGCCAACTGTCAAAAATGATTTAGTAGTTCAAAGCCGCGTTTGCGTCTGCTGCAAAAGTGCGAAAATATATGTGAGGGCAGCGGACGTCCGACAGCAGCTGTCAAATGCAAATACAACGCAGCAGCAGCAGCAACAGCGCAGCAGCAGCAACATCACACGTTTTGACAACAAATTTTGACAGTTTAGCAAAGGTCAAGCGGAAAGTAAAAGTTGACAGGCCCAGAGGTGTGTGCGTGTGTTCGAGTTGATGGTGTGGTCAGAAAAAATAAAGGGGGTGTGTGTGTATTTGATAGATTGACATCATCATTCGGCCTTTCATTCACTTGTCAGGAGCACAGTTAGCGAAGCTCCGAAACATTAGTTTTTTATAGTTCATTGAGCCAGCAGAAAAGCTGAAAGCGAGAGCGAATCATTGACAGCCAGCCACAATAAACTGACAAATCAAAATCAAAAACAAACCAAATTAGCTAGTCATAAAAACGTCTGAAGTGAGCGAATAGCCATCGAAATGGCAACTGTTGATAGATCATTTGGAATAAAACACAAAATACGACGCAGACGCGCGTGATTTATGGCATTTGATAAATGAGAATTTAATAAATTTTTAGCTTATTTGGATTTTTAATTTTTATTTCCCTTTTTTTCTCACTTTTAGTGCGGTCGGCAATTAAATGGTGGCGCTCGAATCGATAGATTAACGGGGTCTTATGTTGTTTGATGGGGTCTCAGTTTTCTGTATCGATTTTATTTGCCGTGCCATCAATTAGCCAAAATAGCTGCGACTTAGGGCTTAAGCCCTAAATCATATGATCGAAAAATGTGTATATGCCAAATTGGCTGTCAAACAAAGCGGCATATCCGCAGGTTTGTTGGGATCTGAGAGCATAAGCATTATCTTCTCTCTGTGCACCATTACTTTCCCCAAATTGAATACCCAAACCGTTTAAGTCACTTTCTTTGATGCCCTGGCTCATCATAATTCCTCGACAGTCACCGAAAGTTCTTTAGCCAGACACAACCCACATAAATCCAGAGGTCCCTCCCAACTTTGTTGTCCTCGTGAATTATGCATGCAACAAATTGTATAAAAATTTCTGCAACTTTACGTTGTTACGTGCAGAAATTTGGAAATCAAGCGGAGCGAACCCCAGAAATTTGAGGAGCACTTGTCGAGGGTAAATACATACGTGTGTACAAACGGAGCAGCGCAAAAACCGAAAAGGACCAAAGGACTTGCAGGACTCCAGTCCCTGGTCGCTGGTTTTTCCGGCTTAGCCCAAGTCAACCCCCAGAGAATATGCTCGAATATTTATTTTTTCCTCTCCGCTCGGCGTTTACAAAGTGATTACTTCTGTTTAAAAATTGATGTCTCGATGTTGGACACGTTTTCAATTTCCAGCGAAATGGCGCGTGCTGCTGCGGCCCCCGCAAAACAAACTTACAGGTGCCGGATACTCTGATACTTCCCATCGAGTCTGATGAGGAGCTCGGATCAAAATTGTCAAAAGAAATTCCTTAAATGACTTTGTCAAGTCGTTAAAAGCGAACACAATTTGGTGTCGCTCTCTATTTTTTATATTGTGGCTCGTTTGGCTTAATCACCGATTGCTGTCATGTCCGAGCTGAATGGCAATTAAATGGTCTACGACTCGTTAAATCATTCATGATTAACTCACTTCAGCTCCCTGTCCTTGAAGATTTAGTGCCGTTGAATATCGTTAAAGAGATGCCTCACATTTCGGATCGGAATCCGAATCCGAGTCCGAACTCCAATCGAAAACTGAAAAGCTGACGAACTGCTGTCGCATAATCGATGAACTTCGATTGGCACTCATAAAAGCCATCAACCGGTTGTGATTTTCTCCAAATAGTAGCAGCATAATGGCATATTATAAATTGCCGCCAGCCGAAAAGGTAACTTGGCACAAAAGTCTGTTGGCTTCGCTGGGCCCAAATGGCTTTTTAATTTGGTCAACGAAAACGGGTTGGAAAATGTTTGCCGAAGCGTTGTTTGTTTTTTGTGTCTGCGGGTTTGACATTTAATGGCCTTTTGCCTTCTGGGGGAATGTGTGGAATGTTTCATTTGCATATGCAGCCTGCGCCCTGAAATATGCAGTGGTTTTTGTTTTACCAGCATAGCTTGAAGGTGTGTTCTGCTGGGAATTTCGTGCACACAAAAACACTGCGAATTTGCAGCCGTGAAATGTTTGTGACTTTGTGTTAGTAGTTTTATATTTGACACTGTACCGAAAAGTATGAGTGCTTGATGCATTTTTTAAAGCTCGTGCGCTTCGAATATACGCGTAATTCACACAAAAGTAAACAGGGCGTTTCTCTCTCTGCATTAATTCCCTATTTAATTTATTTTTCCTCCGTATTGCAAGGGAGAACTTTGATTAAACTTCTTGCCAATAGCAAGCTCAGCTCGTATGTATATGTACATATGTATGTATGTATATATGGCGTGCTATATGTCTGACCAAGTTTCATATAACTACCATAGATAGCGCGCCCACAGCATAATCGAAGGGGGAAAAGCGGAGTAGTTGGAGTTGCAGAAGGATATCCATTTGCCAAAATAGCAAAACTTGCATAAAAACTTTTGCGCAACAACTTGGACTTTTTCATCAAACAAAAGCAAAAGGAAAAATAAGAGGGAAATGAAACAAACTTTTAATGCAACCCACCCGACCACTCCCACTCTTCGCCAAACAAAAGCAACAGCAACAACAAGCCGAAGATAGACAAACTTGCAGCACGCCTCCTCGTCCTTGTTGCCGCCCATTTGCACAGCTGTCAGTCAGTGGAAAATATTTCCCAGCCCGGGCGGCAGAGAGAGACGGCTGCTCGAGAGCGAAAGAGCGAAAGAGGAGCACAGAAAGCTGGCGAGGCAGAGCCAACATGGCGAACAAAAGTTTTGCTCGCTGTGGCAAAAAGCGGAAATGCATTCAAAATCTAATATGGC